CTGACCACCGTTTAGTTTATGCATTTCAGAAACAGACTTGATCTTGAGACTCAGATGGGCTCACCTGATTGCAGGATTAGCAAAATGATGGTACCTGTAATGTCATGTACAGCTACAAGCTGTAGCTGGCATGACTGGAGAGTGAAGATCCTGCTTCATAATTTTGTGGCTCTTCTAGGGAGAAGTGAGATATGTTTCTTTATCTTTATCTTCACTTGGGGTTACCTGGGCCCAGATGCGTGCATCAGTTTTCTGTGGAACTCTGAGGGTTTTGTAGAACTAATTATTAATTTATATGGGAACAAAGCTAAAAAAAATAACTAAATACAACCACAAGATTTCTCCTTCCTTATTGTTATTCCTAAGCTTCCCTCAGAAGAAGAGAAATATTGAAAAGAGGATCAATTTAATGACGCCTTAATAAGTAATTTTTCAATAATTTTGAAAATCTTATACCTTAACTTACAAATTGGAGATTAAAGCTTAAATTATGATGAAAAAAACCAAGCAAACAGCAAAGCACAACAGAACTCCAGTAAATATTATTACATTGATAAGTATAATAAGTATTTGAGTAACAAATCTGTTCACAAATCTTAGTAACTCTATTTGCAGGGGATTCCTTATCTTTTCAAAATCATGGTCTTCATTGAGTTAAACAAAAATCTACTTTTTTTATGGTCCCCTCTAATTTACATTTATGTATCACTACTGAGAGTCCACAAAAGTCCTAAACAGTACCCATCTCATTTCACATGGCTGTTTATTTTCTTCCTATGTCAGAGACGAAGTTTTCATACCAATCAGAATAAACATTAGAGTAAATAACTGATTCAGAACGAATTGGGTAAATATCTGCAGACTTGACAGAAGAACATCAGGCTGTGATGGCACCAGTGGGACACACACTTGTTCATGTGAATGCAAAGAGTGTCTTTAGCACAATGAAGTACAAAACCCATCAACTGGATATCAAATTGTTCTTAGAATGCTGAAGCCAATTGTAAGTAACTAAACCAAACCAAACCGAATCAAAACAAATTTTATTTCTTTTGGGCTTTGGCTAAAAAGCATAAAACTGGTGTATAAGCTCAAGGAAAGGTCTTCTCTGCCTTTTGTTTCAGGGAAAGTTGTTCCTTTTCTGGTCTCTAAATAATTCATAAAACTAACAGAAGAGATGGGGGAAAATTTTCTATGCAAGAATATCTAAAGACTCTTTCAATTAATGAGAACTATCAGGAGACATATTCCATTTAAAAAAAATCAAGAAACAGAAATTTACAGTTATATAGCTAAAAGATTAATTGCCACTAAAACTTCATAGAGAAATGGCATTTTGGAAGGAAGAATAGTAATTAAAATAATAGATTTTAATGACAGAGCTACTACACTCTATCCATGAATTTGAAGGCATAAGTGCCATTCATTGAGCTCTATTGCTATTAATAGTATGTTTAGTTTTTTAAAAAAATTATTGTTAAATGATTTCATTAAGGAAAAGGACAAAAAACTGAGATAATGGTGATTGAAAAAAAGAAGAGTCCTACTCTACCATCTTACATCTTCATGTTGTCATATCAAAATGTTCTCTATCATGATAGGAAAAGCAATGCTGTATTCCAGAAACTGTGGGTGGGCAGAAATTAGCACATTGAAACTTTGGCAATGATTTGCTTTGCATATCAGTATAAACCAGAAGAGGGAATTGATTTAATATAAGGAACAACACACTGAATTATACACTTATGTACTGTAGAGAAACTTATAGTTGTGGTTGCAACAAACATGATCAAATAATAAAGAAATCCATTTTGTGAAAAGCTAATTTCTCATTGTAATAAAGAAAAATACTGGGCATGCAGGAACATCTGTTTTCAAGAAAATTAGAGACAAAATAAAATATTTCTTCAGAAGAGGATAAAAAATGTTTTGCTGACAGGAAGAAAAAAACCTAGAGAAGAACCAACAAAGACTCTCAAGCAATCACTGTTTTCCAGGATTGCCTGTTGCAGCAAACCACTGTATTATTGGATTGAAAAATCTGTTCACCTGAGTTAACTAATTACTGAAATTAAAACTGAATTCAAGTTTTGCCATCAAAGCTCCATCTCTATCTAGCTCTAAACAGAATCTGTAACTTAAACTATTGAAACTCTGCAAGAGAGAAAACCCAAAAATATTCATATAGAAATAGAATGTCATCAGCTAAAGGACCAGTGATGCAAGGAAACACAGGCTCACACACAGCTCTATCAAATCAAGAAAACCCCACATCTCCTCACAATGTGGCTTCTGCACTTGTTTCTTCAAAAGGAAATCTCAGATGTTTTTAAAACATAAATCAGTGGTTAAATGCACATAAACAGATAGAGATTTGTATGTATAAACAATTTAATCTCCAGCCTTACACATAAACACTTTTAAGCTCAATAACTTTAGTAAGTAAAACTAGGCTTTGTTACTGAAACTATATAAAAAAATAATTTGAGTGTACAGCAAGAGTGAATGATTTAATCTATTTCATCTTAAACCTTTCTAGAAGGTGCACTGTGGTGTTTCTGCCCTTCTGAAATGCTTCCTCATACATAACTGTCAAAGCTGTCCAGCTCTAGAACTGTGGTGCCACTACAGAGAGTGCACAGCAACGGGGTAAATAAGATAAAGAATTTCTTTAAGAGAAGAGAGAAACATTGACTTGAAATGTGAATAAAAGTACAACTTTAAATGTCTTCCAATCAAGTGGCATAACTTGAGTCACACAGTCTTTCTCGGGTATCATGGTTTAACCCCTGCTGGCAACTAAGCACCTCAGAGTTCACTCACTCTTTCCTGGTAGGATGGAGGGGAGAATTGGAACAATAAAAGTAAGAAAGATCATAGGCTGATTTAGGAAAGATTTAATAATTAAAATTTAAATAAATGTAATACCTGAAAGAAAATGAACAGTAAGAATAACAGTAATGGAATATTACAAAAACATGAGAAAAATAAAGCCCAAGAAACACACATGATACAAGTGAAAAACAATTGCTCACCACCAGACAACCGATACCCAGATGGTTCCCAAGCAACAGCTGCCCCCTGCCAAACTCCACCCCAGTTTTACTGCTGAGCAGGAAACCACATGGTCTGGAATATCCCCATGGTCAGCTGTCCTGGCTGTGTCCCCTCCCAGCTCCTTGTGCACCCCAAGCCCCCTGGCTGGTGGGGAAGTGTGAGTGGCACAAAAGGCTTTGATGCTGTGTGAGCACTGCTCAGCAATAGCTAAAACATCCCTGAGACATTTTCTATCTCAAATCTGAAACAACACTATTCTAGCTACCGTGAAGAAAATTAACTCTATCTCAGCCAAAACCTGCACAATGGGGAATATATTTTTATGTCCTGAGCTTTAAAATACTATGTTCCAAGGCCAGCCTTTCCCGTTGGCAATGTTTGGTTTGAATTTATTATTTTAGCAGAAGAACTTACAACTTCTTACCAGTCTGTATAGCTTTAGGGCTTTGTTTTGTGGCATTTAAAAATACTGATGCATACACTTTTCCATAGTTTATCCTAGAATAATTTGATCTCAGGGTGCATTCTTTGCTCTTGGAATAAAGCTCGTCCCTCTAAAGGTTTACTAATTTCCCCCAAAATGTTGGGAGGCTCTGCTCCCAGCCTCCCTCATAATATCCCCTCACAATATCAGATGTTTCTATTGATGATTCTATTCCTCTAACCACATCTAGCACCTGCTGAATCTCAGGGAGATTAAATCTTCAGTATCTGTGTGAAACAAGGCAGGGACTTTTCAAATTGCAGGATCAGCCTACCTAAGGGAGCCTATCTGATCGTAATTCAGCTGCTGATGCCTATTATCATATGTGAACTGAAGCAGTGTCTCTCCCGTGCTACCAGCATTCACCTCTGTCAGGCAGAACTGCTATGGGAATGCCTACAACAGAGTGGCAAGCCAGATCCAAATGAGCTGGTATGCTTACACAGAATAATTCAGTGCCTTACCTTCATTCTAGCTGAAATCCCAGAAGTGATACAGCCATCCGTACCAGCTACCGAGCGCAAATTCAGATGAGTCTGTGAAAGCAGGACTAAAAAATCACCAGAGAGCTGTCATGTGCCTTCAACAGAAATGGAGACATAGCAAGTATCTGTTGCCTGAAAGTGTGATTCTTGGAAGAACAGAAACATTGGAAGCACAGCACAAGGCAGACAGAACAGGGTCTCACACAGAAGGGTTCCTGGCTAAGGTGCCAGAGCAGGAGCTCAAGCCCATGCTTAGACTCTGCTTCCACAAGAAACAAGTGACACAGTTCAGATGATTCATTGCATACTCTGCCTTCATCATCTGCTGTTTATAAACACCTCCCCAGGCAAGGAAAATCTGAAGGTGAGGCGTGACCTTCAATAAAAATAAGTCATGACAGGAGAATTTGCAAGTTAGTGACCAAAAGACTGCTCTGCTCATGCCCATGCACGTTTTTCAATCATAGAGCAAGCCTATTAATGCTCAGGACCCGAATGCAACAGAACTAGGCAGATATAAGAATATTAGTGCTGCAATGAGCTAAGAAGGCTCTGTCCATAGAAGATTAAAAGACAGCCAAAAGGCAAAAGAACCATGTCAATTCATAACATCTCTGCACAGGAAGGCAGAAGATTTGAAACTCACCATATGACTTTGCAGCATGAGGAAAAGTGACCTCATACATGCAAAAGACCTTGTATGTAGGCAGAATCTTCTCTACAGCTTTTGTAACCAATTACATTTTAAAAACGTTTTTACTGACATCGTGTTTGTATGGTAATATAAAAGTATTTTGTAAATATATTAATCAGCTTTTATTTCTACAGAGTTTAGATTCAATAATCAAATATGGTAGTTATCATATCCCTTTGGCTAGATTTAGTGAGTATAAATATTAAAAAATGCTTTCAGGGAACCTTTTTGAAAATATCCACTGAAGTCTAATTCCAATAGAGTTTAGAAGAAAGCCAAATGTGACATGCTGTATTTTACTTACACTATCCAGTTCTCCCATACATAAAATAATCAAGATTACTCATTAAATTAGAACAATTAAAAAACTCAAAGTGCTGTTACAGTAACACAAAGGAATACACAGGCTATTAGTTATCAATGCTTTATTATTGAAAACAAAATTGAAATTCTTTTATCTGGCACATAAACAATTATTTCTACAAAAAGGAAAGCCTACAAATCTGATAATTTATACAAATAACAGTTTTTCAAAAAATAAAATTTTAATTTAGTAAACTTGTCTTGTGCTCTTTTTTTCTTTTTCTTTTTTAGCACTGTCTGCAATAATCCACCACAAATCCCTGAGCAGAGAGATATATTTTAAACATGTTTTAAATTTATCCCAAAAGAAGAAAGTTATCAAGCCCAGACCTCTATTAAAAAAATGTATTCAGGGACATTCTTGGTAAATTTATGGTAGTCCTTTTTTCTTTTCCTTTTCTTTTGTTGTTTTTTTTTTTTAAAGAAAAAACCAAAACCAGTTATCAATGCAAGCATGACACCGTATCACAGGAGTGCTCCCCTCTTCCCCCTTTTTGTGCAATGAATAAAAATTAACAAACAAGAATAAGTACAAGTTGAAGGAGACAAATAACCTGGTGAATGATTAAGACCAAGAAACCATCGAAGTTTGATGGCTGTTGAGCAAATAAAGCTGCAGGATACCACAGTTCTATACCAAGCTCAGTTACAGTTACTATCTATTTCTATATCTTTTCCCAGAAAGTTAGTAAAGCAGGAGAATAAGTTCAAGCTACCATTGTATTCTAACACTGGTTTCAACGATCAAGTAGAAATTCAACTTTTGATCCTTCAGTTTTGCTTTTCCAGCAAGAACATTATTTGAGAAAAACTTGACACACTCCACAAAACCAAACAATCTTGCCCCTCTGGCCTTTCTGGTGGGCCAGTTGTAAACTTAGCAACTTATGGTATTTTAGTGAGCAAGAGGAAAGAAAAGGAAATACACATAACTACAGTTTTTCTACTATACTGACTTTGAAACAGCTATTCCCCAATCTATTCAATATAGATTTAAAATCCAAGTGTAAGGGTAGAATGACCAAGAAGGTAGAGTATAACTCAAGTGTTCCCTTTCCCATTCGGTACATACAATAATCACAAAGCAAATGCAAGTAAAACCAAATAAAGGAAATAGCAACATTAGAGACTGTTGTGTTAATGGCAGGTAACATTGCTGCAGTCAAGTAATAAATAAATAAATACAGCAAGGTGTTCTTCTCTACATTTTTGTTGGAACGGTGCTCAACAGTTAAAAAGGAATACATAAACTAAAAACCCCAAACCCCTTTTCAGTAATAAAGAGTTTTTAACAGAAGATCCTGAAGAAGCTTCAGTTCAAGGTGCTCTACCACTTTAACTTTTTATCTATCATTATGAAAGGAATACTGAAGCAGATACCAAAGGGCCATTAAATGAAATAGTAAATTTTCTTACAAACAATAATACTTATTCCAAAGAAAGAAAGCAGTTAACAAATGGCCTGGAAAAAAGAATTACTAAAGCTTCATATACTTCGATTTAAAATAAATTATTTTTACATTTAAGATCTGAAGACTAAAACAGTAATGAGGCTAAATCATTCTGAAACAGAAATAAACTGAACCTCACCAAAAGCATATTTAAGATATTTGACAGCTCTGCTGCTAGCCTGTGTCAGAATACAAACAGAATGCTAATATTTGGTTAGAATCTGAATGGGTTTGTTTAAAACACCAACAATATGAAAAGTAACTGGCAACCACCATTACTGATTCCTCTCAATCTACACTATTTTAAGCAAGATCGAATCGAGTCCCTTCAGTTATTTGCTAGCCTCATCAATGCACAACATTACTTTTTCTCCAAGTTGCTCATGAAGTCTCATTTTAGCTACCTACTAGTATTTTCCAATCCCATTTTAATTAGTAATTGCAAAAACATAGTATGCAGAGTCCAATTTAAAGGTGGATTTATCTGATAGCAAAGTATCAGGGCCAACATCCCTCCTGCTTGTATTACTAAATCACACCTCTGGTCTTTTTCTTACCAGCCTACATACTACATCTGGTGTAGAACACAGACAGCTCCTTGGTCATTCTGTCTACCTCACAGAAATTTGACTGCGTATCTCAAGAAAACTGCACTATTAGTTAACAAGCTGAAGTAACAGGCATATTCTCAGTAAACAACTTGCAATGCTGTCATCTAATCATGTGACAGGTTGGAAAAAAATGGGCCATATATGCTGTGAAATTGGCTAGCAAGTGGTTCAAAAGTGAGATACAGCAGCATTAAGACAAACTGCAAACACACTGGATTTAGTACACTTTTTAATGAGTTACAGTATCAGCAAAATACTTTGACCTACTATTACCACTTTAAGTCCCATATGGCTTAGTGTATACTGTGTGATTTTCCCTTCATATTTCTATGACAGTATACATTTCAAGTACCCACCCAAAAGTAAGCAATATGGGATTTGCAATTATTTATCAAATATACTGAAACAACTTCTCTCACATGCCATTGTTCCAAATATATTTGCTGCGTAACAAGTTCTTCATGAATCCCTCAAAGTCTCCCTTTTTCTGTTTCTCTAGTGGAATAGCTTCTCCTAGCAGCAATTAGGACCTCAGATCCTTGCAGTCAAGTCCAGCAAGTTCTCTGACCTGACAACTCTGTGGAAGTTCAAGTTCTTGGGTTTAATCACTTTAAGGTAAAGTAGTTCAGAGTTTTCATCATCATGTTTTGGATGTTTTCAAACCTTGTTTCTCCATGATATTCCACAATTTGCGAAGATTGGACTGGGTGATGACATCATCAGGTTTAAGTTGAAGAGCAAGGAGGTAGTTTTCTTCAGCCTCTTTCAGTTTGCCATTCAGATGGAGAATGGCTCCAAGATTCATTAGGGCAGCTGGATACTGGTACCAATAAAAAAAAAAAGGAGGAATATTACAAATATTTTCAATTTTTCTTTTTAGACAATCTTCTTCCATTTAAATTACTCCCTTATGTTTGCTGATTTTTCATGGAAGCAATTTAGTAATTTAAGCAAATACAGATAACAAGAAAAAGTTTCTGAACAGCTGCTGTGTAGTTTGTGCTTTAAACAGGTCAAGCTCTAGTGCCTACAGACATAAGACTTCTCTCTTTAATGAGAAAACACAGAACTTAAAAAGCTTTAAATGTGGTAATGTTGGCATAACACAGGTTCCAAGAGAAAATTAAAGTAATCCAAGAGTGAATTAGCGACAAGAATTTAATTTTAATCAAACCCCTTGCTAATAAAGAGTTCATAATCATTGGGAATAATTAACACAATAATAATTGGAACTTATCCCTTTCTTCTCTTTGTCTTAATTGTAACTAGTAAGAAATACAGCCTGCTCTCAGATTCTAAGGATGTCCAGGGGTTCTAGGATATCCATTTAGATTCAGGTTGTGGCAATTATTTCTTACGAAATGATTGAATAAAATTAACAGCGGTGGAAAAATGCTATTTTAATAATAAAACTGTTAAAATTTTGTAACAAATCAATTTAAAAGCTTATGTTGCTAGAATTTTTTTCATGTATAGCTAAGACAAAATGCTTAGCTTGTTTTTATTTTTTTCATCTCAAGGTTATTCCATTATGAAATAATAGGTTCTTCATGATAATAGCATGCCTGATCACTGGAATTAACAAATATTACAAGGGCAGAAAAGCACATTTATGAAGCTGAAGAGTCTAACCTACCTTTTGGCAAGCACCAAGGTATTCATATCCTAGTGAGAGCACAGTAAAGGCATTTGTCAAACCAGTGCTTTGCATTTTAAAGAAAAATGGGGAAAAAATACCACACAAAGTTCACTATAGTTCTCACCCTCAGGTCAGCCTAAGTTTCAATGAGCTTTAGGAAAACTCACTTTCAAAGTCACATAGTTTTGCCTCAGAGGATAAGTGTTTCAAGCCACCACTCATCAGTGTTCTGCTCAAAATAATATTCAAAATGTGAATGGCATATCAAGTTCAGACTACTGTGAGGGCGTGCTTTAGGAGCTCTCCAGTGACAATAACTTCAGAATAGTGGTTAGACACTGAAACAGGTTGCCCGGAGAAGCTGTGGAAGTGTTCAAGGCCAGGTTTGATGGGGTTGTGAGCAGCCTGGTCTAGGTGTCCCTGCTCTTGGCAGGAAGGTCCCTTCCAACCCAAACCATTTGATGATTGTATGAAAATGCATTAGGTAGAAGGTCAATGAAATATGTACTACAGTTGGTCTCCCAGACTGATGTGGCAATAGGAAATCATTACGATGAGGAAGACTTACCTTTGATCCAAGCCTCTCCACTACAAAGTAAAACTCATTAGTCTTATCCTTTTTAATCAAGCTCCAACAAAATCCCTATAATTCTTATGTCCAAAACCTAAATTTTGTGCTGGAAATGTTGTTCAGATAATTCCAATGCTGTATAGTCTCATACTATATATTCATATTTTTTCAGCTTTCTTCTTGCTTCTTTTAACCTACTAATACACACATCACAAAGTCTCATAAAGAACTGCGATGCATCAAATTTTCAGAACAAATGTCTTACAGAGTTTCAAAATTAAGCAAAACAAAATTAGTTCAGCTCTCCTTATTGTAAACATCACAATGCTAATGAAGCAGAATCTGAAGATGTAATTTTTAGATTTACTTTTTCTTGCCTTACCCTGACAGATATTTTCCACCTTCTCTAAGTCATTCCACTGTGAATCAAACAAACAAAAAATGCCAGCTGGGTTTTATATAGTTTTATCAGTTCAATACTCTTCAAAAGAAGGGAAAGTAGGCTCCTGAAACGTAATCTATGCTACAAGTAACTCATATTGGCAGCCATATTTCCATAGCTCCATTTTTGAAATGCCAGTCTTGCATACTGTTTTGTAATGAAATAATATACTCCTTAATTGCAGATGTTCAGGGTGCTAACTGATGTTGTTAAAGTGAAGAATGCTTGGAAATCAACTCCCATGTACATTCATGACTGTCTAAATACCCCCCACATCTAATTCATTATTAGACTTCAGCTTGTTTGAGAGAATTTTCTCAAATCATGAGTAGGAATGTCCATTCCCTCTAGTCATCCTATTTCTTTGTTTAATGAGAGTTCATGAATGAAAAAGCTTTCCTGAAGTTATTGACACAGAGCTGTCATCTCACTTGAATTATAACTATGTGTGTGCTTACACCAAGACAAAGCTTACAACAGATAAGGACTAAAAATATCTTAAACCTAGAAAAACTCATAGAAATAAGACACATGTTTAAATGTGCTCAGGGCTAATTCTACAGCATTCACAAAACTTACTGTGCAGGAAATAACTCAGTTGTCTCATATGGCTTCCAGAATTCCTCCCCATTTCCTCCATACCCTCCTGAAAATATGGTGTGTGTGTATGGGACTAATCAAGAACATCATATATGTAAGACTATATGCCTAGCAAAGAAACTCTCCTACCGTCATGTCTTTAATTTGATACATAATTTCACAAGAGCAAGCAACAAAACCAAATAAAATCAACAAACTGCATGCCTTTTAACTGAAATTTTCCTTCTTCTACACATAATTTTTGATTTCCTGCAGGCCTAACTAATTCTAGGCCATTCATGTTCTAGACAAAGGTATCCACAGAAAATGTGAACTGATAAATCATTCCAGGTATGAACTGAAACATTCTAACTCCTTTACACTTCAAATAAGGAAGTGCACAGGATTTTGGAAAGACTGCTCCCTAACTTTCTAGGATAACAGTTGCCCCAACATTTACGGTTTATTGCAACAGTCACAAGAATTTTGCACATTTGCAAGATTGTTCATCAGTGGCATTGCTCTCTGGCATTTAAAAAGGATGGTCAGAGGATAAGAGAGCAAGAGACATTTGCTGTAGTTTTGCTTCACATAGATTGTCTTTTATTAAAGACAGCTGATAAAACTTTTCAGTACGTTAACAAAGGCAGCAGCTACCACTGCAATAACACGGGACTTGTAGCACTGTATAACAAATGACACCACCTACTACTTCAGAGACTTGAAAGGAGAAACAGGCCTGCCTTCATTTCCTTCTGGAGACAGATGCTTTACATCAAAAATAGCTGACTGGCATTTCTATTGAGGTTATAAATGCTGCCTTTTATGGTCTATTTGGAATTATTCCCATTATTAGCATTTTACCGTGGTGTGCTTGTTTCCTTAGTGGTTTTTTGGGGGCGGTGGGGGAAGGTGCTCATGGGGAGGAGGGAAAAGGAATAACAGATTAGTTAATGAATAATGAAATAACACAAGGCAAGCATTTAGTTGCCTGAGGTGGTTTTGGTTTACATTGATGAAAATTTTTTCAGATTTTCCCTTAAGTACCAAAATAAAAGGAGAGCACTGGACCATGCAAAAATCTTATCAAAAAGTCCTCTCTAAAATTAGAGAACTATAAAATCTTCAAATAATTCAAAATAATTCTGAGTAGTATTTCAGTATTTCATATATATGTAACCATATACAGTATTGGACCCCAAACAGAATCAATTTTAATGACATAGAAGATGAACTGCCTTCTTGTTTATCATCTTTGGCTACACATACAGCAAATGCCATAGCAGAAGTACAGTCCCAAACACAAAAAGACAATTTTACTCCTACATGGTGAAGTTACGGAGAGAAAAACAAATACACAAATAATGTAGCACAAATATACCTTTTGTATGGCAGAGGAGTATGAAAAAAGAACAGTCCCAACACAAGCAAGGAAATTAGAAATTGTTTTCCTCAAAGCTCTGCTTACAGATGACCTTCTCTGCTCAACACCACAGAGATCAGGGCAGTAGATTCTGAGAGGAAAGAGCATTTTGTTGGTGCTGGGGTACTTCTAAGGAAATTATGGCAATTTTTACCCCAGTAGAATCACAAGTGGAAGATGCTTCTCAATTACCCATTTTAAAGAGCCACTGAAAAGATGTTGCCAAAATCCATCTTGCTCTGAAGGAATTACTGCTGTGTCTGATACTGTACATGCTGCAAAACAACCCCAGGACTGTTGAATGAATACTGTAATAAGTGTGGCCAACCTACCAGAAACACAGAGGCTGTGTATTGTTTTTTAAAAGTGCAATTAAGGACACTTTTTCTTTTAAGGATTTCTTTTGAGTTAAAGAAGGACACAAAACATGAATCACAAATGAATATTTCATGCCAGCACTTCGAGTTTAAAAGGGGTGAAGAATTCAGATATTTCTCTTTGATAACTGAAGACACATAGGAGGCACAATGACTGAGTAGTCAAACAGCAGAATATTAGGTCTAGAATGGTTCACTAGGCATGAGAGAAAATCATGCTGGACTGCTGCATCTGATCAGTGGCCACTAAGTAATCTGCTGTCATGCCCTTTTTTATCCTTCTGCAGTGATAGCAAGAATTTTCTCTTGAACTTTTACTACTGGTGGAAGGAAAAGCAGGAGAGGAACATGCTGAGAGACGACTGCTGCCAACTGCATCTTACTCTCCACTGAAAACACACAAAATCTTCAGTGGCTCATGGAAGCAGACATTTTTATCGGAGTGATCTGGTGTTCTCAGATAAACCAAGCAGCAGTTATGGAGAGAGACTCATGTTTCTACCTGGTTCTCTACACTACAAGGCTTCTAAAGAACTGCATTTTGCATTGTGCTGTGTCTGGTATTTTGTCACCAACAGTACATGAACCACAACTAAGACACTGGTCTCCCATAAGCTGGCTAAGACAACAAAAGTCAATTGTCTAGGTACTGATAACTTGGTGCAAAAAACATTCTGGATCAGGATGACAGGATGTATTGCAAAGTAGTATGGATCAGACAGAATAAAAAAGCTAAAATTCAAAATTAAAAGGGATTTCTGGTGTCATCAAACCAGACAGCAAAACATT